GTGAAAGCTTCTGGACAAAGGGCTGAGGAAATAATTGGTTTTTTTCCAACAGAACATAATTTCCAACTTTTTGCCAAATCTAAATGTCAAATTTAAAGCATCATTTTAATACCACAAGTCTCAGTCTCAACGTTCAACTCATGATCTAAACACAGGTCATTCACCCTACTGTAAAGCTAGTGCTGCTTAAAACGTGCTCTCTATGCACAGCTCCAGTGGGTTTCTGCTGCTATCTGAAAATCTAAGCATACTCTGCCTGGGGCTGCTCTCTGTATGTTAAGTCAAAAATACGATACAGTTAAGCTGTTTGAGAATTTACATGCATGTCAGTACAGTCCAAAAAGGTATGTTAAAACAAGTGAAACATAAGGCAAAAGTATGCAAGTATTCATACCTTATCGATTCTGGCACAGCCACCTTGGAGCCACTATTAGGACAGAATTTACAGTAAGTAATAAAATATTATTTTCTGCCAAACCCGCAGGTTTGGTTAAAATTTTATCCAAGATTTTTGCTTGGTTCTTGACCACATGATAGAATAAGCTCTAGGCATCAGCACAGTTAGTCTTGTTTAGGGCACACAACTGCTGGAAGCTGCAAAACAGCCGTAGTAAGGCTGATCTCAATCACCACTTTGTGTCTAAGCAACAGTAGTGTTGATGAGAGTCACCAGCAGACCCAACCCCCAGCCAAAAACCCTGAAAATGAGCTCTCAAGGCACCTAACCAGCCCAGCATTGCAAGAGAGAAACAGCCAGAGCAGGTGGTGTTCATCAGGCCTTTAGCCTGATCCCTTTTCTCTCCACTGGACACAACTTACCATTAAACTCATGCTTTCTAAATTTCACTACCTGCACTGCTGTAAAGCTTTGAACTAGCTGCAACAGATAGGCATTTCCACTGTGCTTCCACTGAAGCACAACAAAGCCACTAAGAAAATGTGAATGCAGAAAAAAATGGGGACTAGGAAGCAAAGTGGCTAAAGATGACACAAATCTGGAAATATGACATGAAGTCTCACAAGCTTATGGTAAGTGGTAGTATAGAAGTTGTCCACAGAAATGCTTTCATCTACAGTAAACTCCTTTGAGAATGGTTGACAGAAGACAATGAAGTATGACACAGGTCCTTCAAACAGCAGACATTCAGCTCATTTAACTTGTATCGCTGTTACAAATATGGAAAGCAGAATGAATTTGGCTCCCCAATGGTCAGTAATGTATGCAAGGATTCCTATACAGCATCAGTCAGAATATATACATACAGTATTCTCTAGTCAAAATGAAAAACACTAACCTAAACATTCCTTCATTTATATAATTATTTTTCATTATTAAAATAAAATTAAATAAGTTTCTATAGAGAAGTTACCTTAAGTTCTTAACTGAGCAGCCCATCAGCAAGTAGTATAAATAAATTGTAACTTTAAAAAAAGCAATATACACATAAGTGAAAGGACCACCAAGGAATCGTTCTGGCAACTTTACTTAAAAGTGAAGCACATTACAGTACAATCTTCTAAAAGCATTTATAAAAGCAAGAGCCACCTTCACCATTTACCTTAATAAATACTTTCAAAGATATACTCAAGAATTAAAATTCCAGAAGCACTCATGAACTCAGTGCAATGTTGTGCATGTGTCAGCTGCAATGGACTTTCCAGATAAATTTGTCCACGGAATTTCTACACAAATGGACTGTTACATAATTAACTTACTGTTATGATATTCTAAATGCAGAGGTCACACCGGTGAAAATAAATACAGTTACATATTCTGAAGGCCTCCCTCAAGGAATAACCTCTTACTGAAAATAAGCGTATACTAATTTATTTTTTTTCCAGGTAATATGCTAGCATTCAGAAATTCATTTATAAGCAAATCTTTCTCCACAAATCTCCGTTCAGTCAGCAAAAACTAACAAGGCAGGAGAACATAATAACAAGCAGGATGGGAAATCATATGAAGACTATAAAAAGCCAGTGATACAAGTCAATTGTCTAACCTCTTCTGGAATGACAGGTGCTATGGAAAAAAAGTCTTCCTCAGCAAAATATCTTAAAAAATTTCATGGTGGGTGGGGGAAGTTCAAAGAAGAACCATGAGCGTGGTCAAACACTTAAGAGGAAGATGGAGTTAAAAGCTTCCCTTATTTCCCTGGACAAAAAATAAGAATAAAAATAGAGAGAGAAGAAAGAATAAGAAAAAATAGTAATACTAACATGTTAATCAGGTTTTTCTCCCTTTTTCACAGCACAAGAACAAAGGAATATAAAAAGAAAGTAAGAGATAGGAAATTAAAAATCAATTAAAGGAATTAATTGTCATGTGTTGCACAATTATATTCTAGAACTCCTTGCCACAAGGACTCATGAGGACATAAAACATTTCCAGAGATAGGAAACTGTAAAACACTTTGGAAAATACACCATGTGCTTCATAGGATAATTATTTAAACACTCAGGTCAAAAAATTGGGCACAGATTACACAAATTATTTCACCCTTCCCCTCCTACCCCCAATTTTCCCATGGTATTCCTAGCTCATAAGTGTTTAGAGGAGACTTTTCAGAATGCAGGAAACTGGACGAGGTCTCTACATCATATAATCTGAAGACAATTCTTGTATTTTCAGGGAGGGGAGAGGGGGGAGTGGAGGGATGTGTCACCTTTTTTGGTTTTCCACTAAAACAGGCTGCTGCTTAAATCATTTAAGGTTGCAACTCATGTAAAGCTGCGTTTATAAGTTTGCAACTAACTGGGATGTACATTTCATAATCGATATTCACAAACATTTCTGTCTGCCACAGTGAAACTAGTTATAATTCCTCAGCCATATAAATGTTATCTTCATGAGCAGTAAGTAAACATTTAGATTTCAGTACTAGGGCTAGAGGCATCAACTCTGTAACCACACAGGCAGTCCCTTACGTACACTCAACTTACTTTTCTAAAGCATTCAAAAACAAACACACTCTGCAGTTCTGTAAACACATGTATTTTGTATACTATACCAAGATATCAAATCAGCAGGGGAGATAACATTGCAAGATGAAAGACAGTGGAATACCTGACCCTCTCCGCTTTCCTTAAGCCAAGCCTTTAATTTAAAATATTCTCTACTACATAAGAAAAAAAATAGTCCAAATGACAAGAAAACCTAAGGTCCCACAACTAGGAAGAGACCATTTGCATAAATATTTATACAGACTGAAAATACCACATAAATAACTGCTTTTAACTTTCTTTTTAGCTTTTGCAAAGCTGAAAGAAAAAGAACATTACTCAAATACTAATGTTCATATGCTGCTAAGAAAAAACTGTGTCTAGTTGAAAGACCCATAGGATTCTTGGACACTTTTGAGACGTTTAATTTAAAAGCAATAAATGTTTTGACAACAAACTGTATCCTTTTCAACTTCATCAGGTCTTATGTAGAGAGCAACTATGACACCTACACTGAAGATGAAACAGCAAGCCTGAGGACGGCAAGGAATTGTTATAATAGAAGCATATCTACTACATTTTATAGCTTTTACTTCAAATAAAATTGAGACAGTGAAAGCAAGATAAAATGTGTAACAAGAGGCACGGGCTACAAAACGGATCCTGTGGGACTCCCCAGGTACGGATTCACCTTACAAGTAACAGAAGAAAACCCACTACTGAAACAACCAATTCACGTGTTATACCAGCATTAGATGGGTACAGAAGTCAACTCAAGGACCAAACGGCCAAATTCCCAACACGATTGAGCCTAAGCTGCTGCTTTTTCAGATCACCACCAGCGAGTACCATGCCAGACCACTAACACGTATACATACTAGGCAAGGCCAAAAAAGTTCACAAGTCACACAAACCTTGCCCAACACTATTTACAATCGATACGCTGAAGGGAAATAAAAAATAATTTAAGAATGACCTCAATCACAAGCCCCGGGCTGGCCGCTGCTGGGTCATCCCCCAACAGGGGGTAAAGAAGGAGGGCATTGAACCCACCGCACTTTGACCCCCCGAGCCCTCCGCAGGGCCCCGCCAAGCGCACCAAGTGCTTTCACCACAGGCGCAGTAACGACGGCGAGCAGGAGGCGAGGGCACGCCACAGCCCAGCCGGCGGGCCCCTGCTCCGGCCCGGCCCCCCTGGAACCGCGGCCACCGAGCGCCGCCCAAATGGGCCCGCAAATGCCCGTAGCGGGGTCCGAGGCACCAGGGGCGGACGTGCCGAGGGGGACCGAGGGAAGCCAAACGAGCCCAACGCCGCCCCCGGGGGCCGATACGCCGGCGTGGGAGGCAGCGGAGGGGCGGGCAGGAAAGGGCGGATCTGCATCCGGGCTCACTCGCTCCCTGAGGCGCTCACTCACCTATCATGGCGGCGGCGGCGGCGGCGGGGGGGG